CAGGCCGACCATCAAACTGACTCTGCAGACAGAAAGAACGAAGTGACACTCATCTGACCTAAACTGGGTGATTTGCATTTTGGAGAACCCACAGCCTTAGTGTGATAATTGGCCCATTATGCCTCTGGTCTTTCAAAAAATTAATACTGGAGAGGTAATATTTTTAAGCAAATAATGACGTTATGAAAGCTGACAGAAAGCCAGAGTCTGAGCTTTGTATGTAGGAAGAGTTATTCCAATGTAGTTTTGAGGCATAGTTAGTTTACCTGGTAAAGATGAAGACAGTATCAGGAGTAGGGAGAACAATGTGTTGTTGGCAAAGGAAACAAGGCAGAATGAATATGACGGTTGGAAGCGGGTGAGGACGGGGAAGGTAGGTGGGAAATTAGGCCATTAATCTTTGCTCATCATCCTGTGGAGGATATGCTGTAGGTCATGGATGGACTTCTTTTTAGGTGCGGAGAAGAAAACTATTCAAGAATTGTGAGGAGCACAGTGATAAAATCAGATTTTGGATGATTTCTTTGTAATCTCTATGAGGCTCTGAGTCATAGGCAGGTAGCAGGTGGACTTCAGTGTCCCAGTGAATAGGAACACACAATCTGGCCACAAGGAGGGCCAGCCGCTTGCCTGCTGCCATAGAAAGCGAGTGACATAAATGACAGCAGGTACAGGAAGAAATAAGTATAATAGCATGGAAGAATCTCAGTTCTGTGTTATCCCTTGTCTTCAGTCACAGGATACTGGCAAATCTGTGGCAGAAGATGTTTCAATTTGAGCTCTTGAAACCATTGTGAAGCTTGATCCAAGCAAATTTGCAAGAAGCTGGTTGCAGCATTTAGTGAAATTCAGACAGTAGAAGGTACTCCAAGTAGGGCAGGCACGCCGTAAATGTTTACGGGCTATAGGGAAATTGTTGTCCATGGTGGAAGAATCTCTGCTTTGGGATTTCCAAGGCCTGGATTCTTCATTCTGCTCTGACTCCTGTGGTGTTGGAAATTTTATTTAGCAAGTCTGGGCCTCAGTTTCTTTATTTGCAAAACAAAAGGCCTAAACTAGGTAATTCTAAAGTAAATGTCATGGTTTATGGTTTTATGAACTACAGGAAAAGTTCTTTTCCACATCTTGAAAAGGAAAACATGGGAATTTTCAAATAAACAGGAGGGGATTCTTGGCTTTCAATTCAGTAGGAACATTGATATATACATAATATACCTCTTACTAGAGAGGAAATCAAGATGCGAAAGAATAGATCCTCACCACCTGAGTCCTGGAGCTCAGCATGGGCTCCTTAACAGAGGGAAGGCTAACATTGACTAGGTTATCTTTCGGGGACTCAGGGTCATCCAAAATAGCATCTAACTCTATGGTAAGAAAAGTTTGTTTCGTTTCTCTTTGAATCAAGATTTTTGGGGTTTAAGACAGAAATTTATAAGAAAAATATGGAGACAGCCAACATTATGTGCCTTAAGCCCTACAAGGGACATCCTCTTCCATGTTCACTTATCTTTGAACTTTTACTGAGGGGGTACATAGACACTCAAAGTTCCCTGGAAATCTTGCTGAAAAGAATGAGTCACACTGGTGGTAATAGCTTGGATCAAGACTCAGCTAGTCAGTGGTGCGGGAGATGGGGTGTTGGTAAGAAAAACAAGAAAACCTAAGATACTGGGATCATGGGACAGTTTTGAGTGTGGCAAATGGTCTACCATCAAGAGATCATGTTGGAATCGTGTCTCAGACACTTCCAGCTGAATGATCTTTAGCAACCCCTTTCCTTATCCTGAAAAGCTTAGGCCATGGTGGGACTGTTGCTATTCATCTTTTTGGGTTATTTTGAGGTCACAAAGTGAGTTAATTTAAGTGACATATAGTCAGTTCTCAATAAATAGTGCTCGATCTGAATTTAAATGCAGACCTGAGTAGATGGGGTAGAAAGTGGAAGGCAGTTCCAGTCATTCTCATGGGGACCTTGGCTTACTCCAGCAGCTCCCGCCATTGAAATATCCCACTCCAGGATCCAAGCAGCCTGAAGTTATCTAGACAGGTAGATTCTCAGCTTGAACTTGTTTAAACAATGAGGCCAGTATTTTGCTATCCTCTATTGAGACAAATTACATCCAACAAAAGACAAAAAGGATAAGCTTTCTCCAAGTTATATTCTGTGTGTGATGGAAACGGAGATTGGACGATACAGCCCAGAAAGTGTTGGCTAAAGATGAGGAGCAACGTGGCATAGTGAAAAGTGCCACGTTTCAGAGGGAAAAGACCTGGGTTTGAATCCGCCCCACTCTATGGCTTCTAGATGGATAAAGTTAGCAAGTTATTTAGTGTTTCTAAATTTTATATTCTTCATTTCTAAAAGGGACATAATTCCCCACCTCCCTGGACTGTGAGCATTGCAGAAAAATGTAGGTGAAAAATATAGGTAGTGCCAGGCACAAGCAGCTGATAAAAATGTTTTCACAATTTCACTTCAACACCTACCCGGCCTTTGCCCTGAAGAAGGCCAAGAGAAGTTGCTCTACCACTAGAGCTAAGCAGTTGTACCTCTGCACGGTTTGTTGACGTAAGCCCTCTTGAAGAAGCTACTAATGATTCCTTACCTGTTTATGTGACATAGTTCCTTTGCGTTTAGATACTTCACATTGCTGGGTTGGGAAGAATGTTTGCCAAGCCAGTGCATCAGCTTCTCTATGCAATATGGGATGCTGTGGGTCTGTCTGTGTCCTAGGTCTACACTGCAGGGTCAGACAGCTCCTCCTCTTCCTACTGTCTTCTGTTTGGAGACCTCTGAGCAGGGAATGGGGGTGGGTGGGGGTCTGTTTCTAAGCCAAAGTGAGTAAGATTAAGACAAGAAGCAGCTCCAAACAGCGTCATTTCATGGGCACTGATTTTATTGTGAAGTCATGGGGACTGCAAAGTGGGGGACGTTTTCAGTGTCTGTGATTGTCTCCTCTAGAGGGATTGCAAGAGAGAAAAGAGAAATTCAAACAATCAGTCTGTGCTCTTGCCCTGGGCTCCATAATTTGCCTTTTACTTTCTGCATTTTCATATTTGAGTCTGAAAAGCAAAGAACCAAAACAATCAGCAACAGATGTCCTCGTGAATCTGCATGGTACATGAATTCAGTTAGCATGCAAATTGTCATCCCAGGGTGATTCCAGGGGACTGCTGAAAAAACAGCAGGCCTGCTCTGCAAAATAGATAAATGGCATGATTAAAATGTCTGGATCCAATCATATGTTTAATTAGAACTCCTTTTTTATCTCAACTACAATGACTGGTAGCTATTATGACACAATATTGAAAATGCGTATGACGCAGGGTGGCACTTGGAAGGCAGATAGGTGGTCTGTGTTTGATCAAAATGATCAAAGCTCCTCAACATGGAGAGCCCCCCTCTCCTCCTTCGTCTGATCCACTTAGACGAGCAAAATATGATTTATAGGAGACAGTTTATGTAACTTTCATTCCTCAAGAGCAGAAACATAATTTTTGCACCACCATTTCCCCTGGAAACATGGAGCCTGACAATCTTTATAAACACACAGTAACCAACTTTGCTCCCCAGCTGTCTACAAGACACGGCTCATGCTTCAGCTCCAATTTGCTCTCGTAGGTTTAAACACTTTTTATTTTTATTGTTAGTTTAATCATAAAAAGATGAAAATATCTTAGCCCTGAGTGGTAAAACTCTCGATCATTTCATTTTATTTTTTCATTGTATTCATCCAGGTTATATTTTTGAGACTTCAAATGAAATTAAAAGTGACGCTCTCACAAGACGCCATGTCAACCATGAAGTTTTATTCCTTGGTTGATAGAAAGACTAGATTTCACTATGTAAATTGTGGACCTGCTATCAGCTAAGCTGCTGTTGCGTCCATTATATCAAAGGATTTATGTTGGAATTCTTTTTTTTTTTAAACTCTGGGAAGCAAAAAAAAAATAGACCACAAAGCAAACTTGGTCAGAATGCTCCAGCATGAGCGATTGAAAATGTAAGTAGCATTGCAGAGGAAAATCTAAGTTTGCCAACAACTTACTCAAATACTCAGTTTTGGCTTGGACTAAAATTTATGAGATAAACATCTTTTATATATGTTACAGCTAGACTGCAGTAAATTTTTCACATTTTGAGAGTTTTGGGTTAGAACTTCCTACAAAACTTGGGATGTGGCTTCTTTTACATATACTTGCTTCTCTATTGCAAAGGTGTTCTCCCTTTCCAATGTCCTTTTATGTTGGTTGTTGCCTAAAGAAAATAAAAGTACTCTTAACTAGCGATAGGAAGTGGAATCAGGTGTTAATTGTCTTCCTGCTCTGTGCTCAGCACCTGTGTTGGGGTGGGCTCTGCCGACTTGGTAAGGCTTGAATTCTGCCCTCAGGGACTTACAATGGAGTTCAAGTTCTATAGTGAGTTCTACCTACGAAAGATTCAAAGATAATGAGATGGATGGAAAGATAAGAAGGGAGGCAGGGAATGGGAGGAGGGAGGGCAATAGTGCAGGCAGGAGGGTGGTCAGAAAGAGAAGGCCAGAATCCCCTAAACTTCTATCAGACTGTCGAACTACTACAGATTCCAGGGCCCGGGATTTAGCTTAGTGGTGCAGCGCCCGCTTGGCAAGGTCCTGAATTTGATTCCTGGTACCAAAAACAAAACCAAACTTGGCAACTACTACAGGTTCCCAAGCAGGATGATAGGGATGGCAGGAAGGGCGGCATTCCAGGGAAAAGTGAGGTTTACATTTTAAACTCCAAACTCTTTGATTAATTCTTGCTAGGACCAGCTGAGACAGGCCCTGGTGTAGGGACAAGCACGAGGTGAATGACAAATACTACTTTACTATCTGCGATCCCTAAAATCATACAGAATCCTATTTAGCCCTTATTCTAATTCAGCCCTTTAGGTCCTGAGCTGACATAGAACTTAGTAGGTGTTTTTCTTATTTACCCCTCACAAAATTCCCCTCTGACATAAGTGTACATTTTTACAGGTTTTAGGTGATGAACGTGAAGCACAGACAAGCTAAGCAACTTAACCCTGATTAGTGCTGAAGTAGTCCACACTCAGAACCCAGGTACGTAGCCACGATACTGAGCTAAGCATACACTGCCAGTAAAAGACAAACCTAAAGAAACATTTAAAAACTTATCAAGGGGAAAAGATGATGCTTACCTAGTACAATCCACTATATTCCCACCAGTAAAACTCCTATATGAACCACTTTTTTATAGTACGGTAGTTTGCTCTTGTGTACAAGCCCACTTTTTGGGGGAGGAGGGAAAGATGGAGGTGGGAGTGTGAGATGATCTTTGTCAGGTGTGCTGTTAACAGTGTGTAGGAAGGTTGCAGTTTGAGTAGCTGCAGGACTTCAGCTGGTCTTTAGAAAATGAAGGGAAGCTGGACAGCTTCTTCGGGGGCTTATCTTCCAACGTTCATGTGTTGGAATCTTAATCCCCATTGCTACACTGGTGAGAGGTGAGATCATCAGAGGTGATTAGTGAAATACCCTGCACAACCTTGGTGCTGCATGTGGGTTGAACGTAGTCTGGTGCCACCCTACTCTCTGACACTTACTTTCTTCTCCCTTCAAAATGCTCAAGGAAGTACATTACTGGGAGAAGTTGGAGGCTTTTGCCTTGCAGGAAGCAATTACCCAGTTCATGTCTCTCTGCTGCAACCCACACAACCAGCCGAGTCCTGAGAGGTGGCGATGGGAGATTAAGCAAAAACGATAGATACACACTAAAAGGAAAGCTGGGACCAGGTGTGACCTGACCTCTCTGATAGAGAGGCAGCGACAGCCCAGCATGGTCGGCCTCTTTATTTATACACGGTAAAAGGTAGGGGTGGGGAGTGCCCAGAGGTCAAAAGTGCAAGGTCTCAGTGTTTTGCTGAGAACACAAAAGTGAAACATTCTCAAAGCTATCTGTGCTGTAGTTAACAGGCAAGAAAACCAAGGCCACACACCTGCTGGACTGGCCTTGCTCTGTCCCAGCAACTTGTTTATATGGTTCACCTCTGGAGCTCCGTGTTCCCCAAGCTGGCTTTGCTCTAATGTCGAATATGTAGTCAACCTCCAGCTCAGCCACTACCCACATCTCCCATGAGCAGTATGTTCTATTCCAGCAAAGTAATTTTCCTTTGAGGCCTGATGCTTCTGATGGCTTGGACAAGATTTTATGCAAGAGCCAGACAGACCCTTCCAAGTTTGATTGAAGTACAGTGATAAAAATCAGCATCATTCTTAATATTCAGGAACACACTGTGATTTTGGTGACCAAAGCTGATGTCATAAGTAGCTTGGAGATCATTGCTAAGTCTGGCACTGATTCATTTATGGTAGCTCTGCAGGCAGGTGCAGATATCTCCGCAGGTGAGCAATTTGATGTCAGCTTTTATCCTGCGTATCTGATGGCATAGAAAGTGGTTGTGACCCTAAGATACCACGGTGATGAAAAGTATGCCTGAGAATCTTCTGCAGGGGTTCCTCCACTCTATGTACTGACCATGGTGAAGCCACTAGCTGAGCCACCAAAGGGATCTTCTACCTCAAAGATGGCCAGACAGAGTATGTAGAGGAGAGGTAGCCAAATAATTCATGAAAAAACACTCAAAATTCATAGGCTATCTCATTACTCTTTATTTGGAAAAGGAGCAAGAGAAGGAAAGTAGGAAATATATTCATCAGAACTGACTATGATCAGGGTCACTTAGACCAGAAACATCCCTCAGAAGGAAAATGAGGACTTGTAAGGTGCTTCACCAACGCCTGGGAAGTCCATCGACAGTCAGGCACTTCTCTGTAGAAAGTCAGCTGAATTTCAAAGCATCACTGCTATTCATCCCTTGGTCATCTCCCTTTGGCCTCTCTGAACATAAGGAAAATCAAGTCGGTCAAAGTCTGTGTTCACTGTAGACAGCTGTGATGAGTTGAAAGTAGAATATCTCAACTTTATCTAAGGCATGGTTGACCCTGAGGAACTTTTCCCTGAGAAAAGCTAAGACAGAGCAAAGTCTTCAAAGTCAGTTATAAAAATCTGGTCATGGAGTGTCCCGAGCTCTTCTCTGAGCTAGTAAGAAATGGGAATGACTAAAAGAAATTGTCTGAGGCACTCTGTGAAAATCGAGAGCTTGCAACCCGTGAGGCCTCACCAGGCCGTGAGGGGATGCGCTGTGACTGACTGTGCCTCTCACTTGGCGGTGACTCCTCTGTTAGAATGAGTCTCTCACACGAAGGAGACACGGAACATCCATCACATTACTGGTGAGCGTAGAGGGCCAACTCTGCTTTTGTGGTGCATAGGTGGAAACACGGCTTTGGGCTGGTACCCACGCCTGAACCTACCGACCAACACCATGTGCAGCAGCTAAAGGAGTTTGGGAAGAGAGGTTTTCATTACTGGGAAGGCCTGATGCTCCCTGAGGATGAGGAGGGGAAGCAAACAGAGGAAGAGACCAGGAAAAATGTGAGACCCTTTGCAAGTTCATGCAAAGACTTTGTAAGAGTGCCCAGTAGGTTTGTCTGCACCTCCTACACTGTGACTAGCACTTACGGCCAGGCAGCGAAAGTACGGTTCATTGTGGTAGCTCAAGCACTTCAAGACAGCTCTGACCACGCCATAGAGACACTGGCAACATGCTGAGGTGCGCAGAATCAACAAGGCTGTCAAGGACCTGGGGGCGCTGTTCTTTCAAAAGGTGCTGCTATCTTCGGGCTTCTTCCCTGAGGCTCCCAGACCTCCTGCAGCCGTGGCTTAGCACAGGACAAAGCTGGGCCTGGGGACTGGGGGAACGCGTGACAGCAGAGGAGGCTGGTAGTGCTGCTCCCGGTGGGATCTCCACTCTGAGGAGCAGGAAGTTGTGTCTTACATGGAAGAAGTAGACTAGAAATTTCTACTTGGAAACTTCAGGCTTCTTTAGAGTGTCCCTAAGGCACCACAGCAACCTTGAGGAAGCACTGTCTTATCAGTTTTCTCTGCTTATGACTAGTGTTTTGGGATTTTCTTCTGCCGTTGTATCTAAAGCAGAAAACAAGTACCACAAGTCCCATCTTTTCCTGATTGGATGATAGGATAAGGTATTATGTATTGTGTGTTTTTGTTGTTGTTGTTCTGAAATTAATGTATACAAGCTAAAGAAGTGCAGTTTAGAAAAAGTGGCTGGGTCATGAGGGCTCTGCTCTTACGAATGGGCTATTGTTACTGGACAGTTTGTTACAACATCAAGTTGCGTGCTCTTGTCTTTTCCTCTCAGCCCCTCTGGCCCTTCCTCTGTGGGACCACACAGCAGGCAGGTCTTCACCAGATTCTAACATCTAGACATTGGCCTTCCCAACCTCCAAAGGAGGAAAGTAAATTCCTTTTCTGTATCTGGCGCTCTGCCATAGCAGCAGAAAATAGACCAATTCAGAGGAAATCTTCAATTTGTGTAAAAAGGGCAAGGAAGAATGAGCAAAGGTGAAAGTAGGGACAAGTCCAGGTGTCTTTAGACCCAAAGGAGTTAGTCTCAGCAGGGATAGATGGCTTGTGTACAGGAGGGACATTTTGCGGGAACTTATTTAAGGTTCCTTTATCCCCCTGGGCAGCATGATGGGAATTTGAAAGAGATTGGGTATTGAAACAGTGTGGATGAAACTTGGAAAAAATTTTAGCTGGCTGTCCCTCAGACAAAGGGCTTCTATCTAGAACATATAAAGAATTAAAAAATATCAGCCCCTCCAAATTCAAAGACCCAATCCAAAAATGGGCAGCGGAGATGAATACACACTTCTCAGACAAGGAGATACAAATGGCAAATAAATATATGAGAAAATGTTCAACATCATTAGTCATTCGAGAAATGCAAATTAAAACAACACTGAGGTTCCACCTTACCCCCGTAAGAATGGCTAGCATTAAGAAATCAACCAATAACAAATGCTGGAGAGGTTGTGGAGAAATAGGAACCCTTCTCCACTGCTGGTGGGAATGCAGACTGGTGAAACCACTGTGGAAATCAGTTTGGAGATTCCTCCGAACACTAGGTTTAGAGGTCCCATTCAACCCAGCTATCCCCCTGCTGGGTATTTTCCCAGAAGATCTAAAAACATCATATCACAGTGATATATGTGCACTTATGTTCATAGCTGCACAATTTATAATTGCTAAATTGTGGAAGCAACCCAAATGTCCATCCACCAAGGAGTGGATAAGAAAATTGTGGTACTTTTACATAATGGAATATTACTCAGCTGTAAAGAAAAATAAACTCGAGGCTTTTATAGGCAAATGGTCACAACTAGAGACCATACTCATAAGTGAAATAAACCAAACATACATGTGAAAGCACCGCATTTTTTCTCTAGTGTAAAACTTGAAAGAGTTAATTTAAACTTGGAGGTATGATAGACACTGTGAAATGATAGGAAACTGCTCAAGAGTAAAGGGTAACTGGGATGTGGGAAAAGAGAAGGGAAAGAAGGAGAAATTTTGTATGTATGTATATACAGGATAGTTAACGTGGTTGTTCTTCTGTCTTCTATTTCTATGCTGAAAGAAACTGTCAATGAGTCTTTGGTTGATCAGTATAGCATTTCTATATCTGTTTTCATGAGAAGCCACTTTGAAGATATCAGTATGTAATACAGCAACCATTGTTAATTCCCTACCACTTTGTTTGTAACTCCGTATTGTGTGCACTGTTCTTTTGCTATGTTGTAAAATGTTGTCTGTCTGTTAATGTTTTCCCCCTTTTATTTTTAAAATAAAAAAAAGAAACAGTGTGGATGATCTAATTTCAAGGTCTCTAAGTGAATTCCACCTGCAAAGACTTTTTCAAAAAATAAGAAGACATTCACAGGTTCCAGGGGTTAGGACACAAACATATCTTTTGAGGGGCCACAGTTCAGTCCAATATAATCATACTCAGAGTGCCCTTTGAGAACACTACACTCAATAACTTTAAGGTATATCAACTGGCTGAAAATATTGTCCTTGTAAGTTTTAAGATGTAGAATGGTTCAAGAACAGATCCGGTCACTGATTAGGATATTTCCACTTCTCTGCATTTTAAAGTTCTGGGAGTGGAACCTGGGTC